TCATCATTATCATTACCAATTTTTCCGTTATTATTGTTTCATCTTTTTTCGGTGGCAGAATGGTCTAAGTAGTCAAACAACTGTATCACTAGCCTGTCCACACTTAAGTTGTGAGTTCGAATCCCGCACGTGACAGGTACGCTCGACTCCAATCTTAATTGACTAGAATTGTTAGTTTTCCTATCGAAGGTCGGTGGTTCTCTCCGGGCACTCCGACTTCCTCTACAATAGAAACTGACCGCCACGAAATAGCACGATAGTGCTGAAAGTGGCGTTAAAGACAAATAAATCATTCAATCAATCAATCATCCATACCAGTATAGTTACGCACGAGTAGAAAATTTTAGAGCTATTGTTTTGAAATACTTTTTAAAATGACTGGTTTAATTGGTATAGGAAATGAATTAAGATAAAGCGGCAATTCAAAAGAGGGAACAATAATATCGGTATAGCTGTCTTTTGCAATAAAAGTTGTTTTATCATATTTTCGCCACAGCAGGGGAATTCTTTAACTAGCTCATGTATTAATGGATCTAGATCTTCCTCCGAAATGTTTGAAACGTTGATTTTTATTAAATTGCACTGTCTCATTTATTCTATAAATTGCACTTTCTGAAGCTAATAATATAAGGCTGAAGCTGCTAGATCAGAAACAGTAAACTGGCACTAAATAATAGATTATATTCTGGTAGATCGGTTATTTGAACTCCAGGACCCATAATTTAATAACTTTAACCGTATGTTCATTATTGTAGACCAATCCATTAAATTTAAACTTTGCAATTCATATTTTGACAATTTTCTAACAATATCAGATGGGATTTTTCATCTTTTAAACGAGGTAGCAACGTGCCAAGGTTTATCTCTTTTAAAAACTCATCAATTTTCCAAACGATAGTAACAGATTTATACAGGTTTATAGTAATTCGAAGAAGCAGGTCGGAATCAATTATGACGTAGAGTGTAATCTTTCTAATCGTGATCATTTTATTGACCATAACAACGATGAAACCACATCATATAAGTACGTTTTGACATCATATAATGAAGTAATCCGAACCACATCATATAATGTTACAAGCACATAATATAAAGACACAACCACATCATATAAAGATGTTTGTACATAATATAAGTATATTTGCACATCATATAAGGATATTTGCACATCATATAAGTATATATGCTGATCATATAAGGATCTTTGGACATCATATAAGCACATTTGCACATCATATAGGTATATTTGCACATCATATAAGTACATTTGCACATCATATAAATATATTTGCACATCATTTAAGTATACTTGCACATCACATAATTATCTTTGCACATCATATAAGTATATTCGCACATCATATAAGTATGTTTTCACATCATATAAGGATGTTTCCACATCATATAACGATATTTGCACATCATATAATGTCAACTGGACACCATATAAAGGTGTTTGCACATCATATAAAGGTATATATAAACATGTTTAACCCCGCCGCATTTTTGCGCCTGTCCCAGGTCAGGAGCCTCTGGCCTTTGTTAGTCTTGTATCATTTTTAATTTTAGTTTCTTGAGTATAATTTGGAGTTTAGTATCCATTATCACTGAACTAGTATACATATTTGTTTAGGGGCCAGCTGAAGGACGCCTCCGGATGCGGGAGTTTCTCGCTGCATTGAAGACCCATTGATGGCCTTCGGCTGTTGTCTGCTCTATGGTCGGGTTGTTGTCTCTTTGACACATTCCCCATTTCCATTCTCAATTTTAAATGCACATCATACAATGAAAATGGGCATAATAAGACAGTTTTTGCGTTCCATATTAACTGGCAGAAAAACTAAGTCATTTATAGGTAAATTATTGATAAACAGGAATTTATTTTTTTACAAAATTTACTTCTGGATACTATCTTATGACCATAAACAAGCTTCTGTCCAAGTTTGGTAGAAATCCAGGTTAGTTGAAGAAAGTTATTAAAATTTCAAAAAATTTAACCACAGAGTGAATATTTGTGGATGCCGCCACCGCCGACGGAATGTAGGATCGCTATGTCTCGCTTTTGCGACAAAAGTCGCAGGCTCCACAAAAAATCATATATTTTCATTTATGGCTTTGTGTTTACATATTGTGGAAAAGTATTCAATCCATAACTACAGATATGGCAAGACAAATTGTGATAAAAAAAATGTTCCACAATACACTCCAGCTCATGTAGATTTTTCATTGCAATGTGCCAACAGTGAAGATTGGCATGGGGTGTAAATCTTTGGTCAACTTCCATCATTGTTTCAACGATGTATGGCTAGGGATCCAGGCCCACTCCAGTCTAGGGATTGAGTAAAAGTTGTTCGATCAATACATGAATTGTATTTATATATACTGTTATGTTTCCCCACTGTCCAGATGGGTTTTTTTTTCTCCTTATACGTATTTGTAAACTGCTATATATTTCTACTTCTCATGGTGTTTTTAACGACCTTGACCGGCTATACAGTCCTAGCACGGTGGTCCCTGGCTTGCGCCTTTTTGGGCATTTAAATAATTATTTTTTTACCATCAGGCAATCGATATAAATTAAAATGACAAATACGAAAAAAAAACCTATATAGATAAAAAGTAAAAGTGAGTAACAATTTGAAAGATGGAAAAAAAAAAAAATTGATGAATAAAAATAAATGATGAAAATTAAATTGAACTAATATAAAATAGAATATAAAAATGTTTTGTTTAATGGAAAAAAACAGGTGGTGGCCAGTTTTTATTGGTAGAGGAAGCCAGAGTGTATAACTGATTTACAAAATGTACATGAAAAAGGTAAACTCCATGCATTCCAGGAACATAATATCAAAATGCTTAAAGAAACAATACAGATAAATAAAAAGGGGAATGTGTCCATGGGACACAGATGGTGCCCCCGATTGCAGATCATATAAAGTCATAAAGGGACATAACTGAAGAACGGTATAAGTGAAGCTATCCAAATTTGTACTTAATTTGAGTTTTGTGGTAATAACAATTGTGTATAAGTCTAATAACATTTGGTTGAGGCAAACTTAAGTTAGAGAATGGAAACGAAAAATTCAGCAATTTTTCCATTTGTAAAAGGGCATAACTCTAGAACAGTTAAAGCCACACCACCAAAATTCAAACTTGATCTGTATTTTGTTGTAATAAGCATTTTGTATAAGTTTCATAGCATTTGGTTGAGGCAAACTAAAGTTAGAGAACGAAAACAAAATATTCAGCAATTTTTCCATTTGTACAGGGGCATAACTCTAGGACAATAAAAGTGACACCCCCAAAATTCAAACATAATCTGCATTTTGTGGTAATAAGTATTGTTTATAAGTTTCATAGCATTTGGTTGAGGCAAACTAAAGTTAAAAAAAAGAAACTGTAAGGGCATTACTCTAGAACGGTTAAAGTGACCCCCCAAAATTCAAACTTGATCTGTATTTTATGGTAATAAGCATTGTGTATAAGTTTCATTACATTTGGTTGAGGCAAACTAAAGTTTTTGAGAACGGAAACGAAATGCATGTCATGTATCTTTATTGAGAGAAAACAAAGTTTTTAAATTCTTACTATTTTCACTAATATTTCTTTTTAAAAAAAATGAATAATCAATTTTAATTACTGAATGAAATATTAATAAACATGATAAAGAGCTGCGACCATGAGCGCATGATACGCCTGTCGCTTTTCCAAAGAATAATGTTCCATAACTCCTCAATGTCATATAAGAAATTATTAAAAAACTAAAGAGAGAATATTTAAATAGATATAAAAGAACAGAGTTCCAATGTTCCTCGGGTGGCACATATTTTATCTATCCATGGTACAAGGGTAATAACTAAAAAAATACACTTTTTGTTTGTTCTTGAAAACTTTTTATAAGTATCGGAGAGAAATGAAGGCTTGAGAGCAAACACAATTTTTTTCAAGGGGCATAACTAGTTCAAATATTTGATCAGCACTTCTTTTCAAAAGTGTCAAAGACATTGCTGATATAAACCTGTGATATAAGTTTCATAAAATTCTGGCAAGAATTGAACACATTAGAGCGCTAACAATGAATTTTTCCATATAATAAATATGTCCAAGGACATAACTCTTTTAAAAATAATTGATCGGCACTAATTTTCACACTCATCAAAGTCATTGCTGATATAAACCTGTGATATAAGTCTCATAAAATTCTGGCAAGAATTGTACACATGAGAGCACTAACAATGCCATTTTCCATATAATTAATGTTTCCAAGGGGGCAACTGTTTTTTTTTAAATAATTGATCAGCACTGATTTGCAAACTAGTCCAATACATTGCTGATATAATAAAATTGTGAATGGAATAGGGTTTTAGTATGATACCATCATAAAATATAAGAACATAACCCATATCATGCCAACAACTGGTTTTAGAACAAAGAATATTACCATAAAAGATTGGATGTGAAATACCTGAACGTATCAGATGTCTGCATGTTAAATTAAATTTACGAATGATGTCCTTGTGACGATGATAAAATTTAGCGAATGTTTTGACTAGTTTGTGATACCGAAAACCCTGGTGTAAAAATCAAATATGTTGCTACACAAGAGCAAATCGAACAAGTTGAGATATATAAACACCATCTTATGGGATTAAGGGAACGTCACCATCTAAAAATGGATAATTAATAATAGGAAATCAAAAATCATCTCTTTTATCATAAATTTTGGTATTAAACTTCCCATTAACGATAAAGATTTGAGAAAATCTTAATACATTGATGACATCAATGGCGCAATAAAAAACAGGACACAGATCTGAGAAAAAGATGCAGATTTGAGGCCTACAAGTTACAGATATACCAAATAAACATGATATAAAGACCAAACAATCTTAACTTTTTCACAGATATAGTGTACTCACAGTTATTTTTACTGTCAACATTATTATGAAGTATAAGATAACTTTTTGAGTCTTCTTTCAAGTTCTTACTACAAAAATTACCTATGCAAGATTTAGCACCTGTATGTGTTCTCGTGTCTGTCTGACTTTGACGATTATCCATCCTACTACAATATTGATGTGTTCCTGTGTTTGTCTGACTGTGACAATTATAAATCTGACTACCATATGTATGTGATCCTGTGTCTGTCTGACTGTGACATTCACGAATCTGGTTGCCTCCTGGATATGTTCCTATACCAGTCTGACTTTCACCAACTTCCATCTGATTCTCATCTTCATGTGTTCTCATATTTGGCTGACTGTGATAATCATCAATCTGGTTACCAGCTCCATCAACTTTTATAGGATTTGTTTCATCCATTTTTAAAATAGACAAATCTAAATATGAAATAAAAAAACAGTCATTCTTTTTCATAGCAGACAAAATTCCAAACACATTTCAGTGACTGTGAGCAGGTGAGAATGTGCAGAAATCCTACACTTAAAAATGCTTAATAGATACATGTCATGCACATGATGCATGTATTAATACTAAAATTCTGTCAGATTAAAAGGGCATTGAATAATACGTTATGAGATGAAAAATGCTTAAACAAATTTTGTAGCATTTATAAAAACGTAATATTTCACTATAAGTAATAAATTTTGTTAAATTTTGTCAAAATGAGCTCAAAAACATTGTTAATGTATTTATGGTATTATTGCAGGTCAATATTTCAACCTCATTTGAATCCATCTCTGCATTGCTAGAAGATGCATATATTCATTCAACTCGTAATTTGATCCTAAACTTAACTGGAAATGAAATTAGTATATCAAAATTAAGAAAAAAAGTAAATATAAGAAGGGTATAAATCATATTCAAAAATAAAATAAATGTGGATAGTGTCCACATGTGGACACAGATGATGCCCCCGCTTGCATATCATATAGTTATAAAGGGACATAACTGAAGAACGGTAAAAGTGACGCAACCCAAATTTGAACTTGATCTGAGATTTTTGGTAATAGGCATTGTGTGTAAGTCTCATAACATTTGGTTGAGGCTAACTTAAGTAAAGAACAGAAACTAAAAATTCAGCAATTTTTCTATTTGTAAACACGCATAACTCTAGAACGGTTGTGTATAAGTTTTATAACATTTGGTTGAGACAAACTAAAGCAAGAGAACGGAAACGAAAAATTCAGCAATTTTTATGTTTATAAAGGGACATAACTCAAGAATGGTAAAAGTGTCGTCACCAAATTTCGTACTTAATCTGTATTATGTAGTAATAAGCATTATGTATAAGTTTCATAACATTTGGTTGAGGCAAACTAAAGTTAGAAAACGGAAACAAAAAAATTGTACTTGATCTTAGTTTTGTGGTATTGAATATTGTGTATAGGTTTCATAATGTTTGGTTGGGGTAAACTTAAGTTACAGAATGGAAACTAAAAATTTCGCAATCTTTCGATTTATAAAGGGGCATAACTCAATAATGGTTAAAGTGACACTACCCAAATTCAACTTGATCTGTGTTTTATCAGTGGAGGTCAAAATTAAACATTGCATTGTATAAAGTATTGATTGTAGTTGATTCAACTATAATCATGGACAAAGGAAGATAACTCCAATTTTATCAAGCATTCTGAGAGTATTGCATGGCAATACATAGTCCCCTACCGGGTAAAAATTCATTATACCGGAACAAAATGCTAACTTGTCCTATAACTTGTCATGGTTTAAACAAAAAGAAAATATCAAGTCAATATCTTCAAACATGACTAAAAACAGGGTGGAAAACTGAATATATGAGTGAATTTTTAAATTCCAAGGACCATAACTCTGCACAAAATTATCAGACCGAAACAAAAATTTGAACTTGATCTGTATTCTGTAACTTGTCATGATAAAACTATTTACCAATTGTCAATCAATATTTTCAAGCATGATGAAAAAAAGTGTGGAAAACCTACAACATTCTAACATTAGATATGATGTAATACAATGTATATCTATTTTCAAATTACAATCAAATATAATTAATAGTTCCAAATAATTTTTCTTTCATTTGTCACAAACTAAATAATATAGATTTGTAACTTACCTATAAAATGTCAACAACTTTTATCTACACAAAGCAATGTAATGAAATATATACCTTAATAAAAATAGATTATTATCTAATTAAAGGATTTCACTTAATAAAAAAATATACATATATATACATGTAGCATTCAGAAAATTAGTTTATACAAAATAATATATAAACCTGCCACAAAATTCCTCAAACAATTTACCAAAGAATGTCTTTTAAAAAATGAGTTATCTCCCTTTGTATAGATTATATGGTTTAACATAGTACTCTAACATTAGTTATGGAGTTTTTTCATGGACCATAACTCTGGACTAAATCATCAGACCGGAACAAAATTCGAACTTGATCTATAACTTGTCATGATAAAACTATATACCAAATATCAAATCAATATCTTCAAGAACGAAGAAAAAAAGTGTGGAAAGCTGAGTTGCCGGACTGACGGATGGACAGACGGACGGACGGACAGACAGACAGACAGACGGACAGAGTGCAAACTTAAAGTCCCCTTCGACTTCGTCGGTAGGGGACTAAAATTTACTTGATATTTAGAAAATAATTTTTTTGCAATTTTTCCATTTATAAAGGGACATAACTCTAGAGTTGTTAAAGTGACGCCACCAAAATTCAAACTTGATCTGTGTTTTGTGGTAGTAAGCATTGTGTATAAGTTTCATAGCATTTGGTTGAGGCAAACTTAAGTTAGAGAACGGAAACTAAAAATTTTGCAATTTTTCCATTTATAAAGGGACATAACTCTAGAACGGATAAAGTGACACCACCAAAATTCAAACTTGATCTGTGTTTTGTGGTAATAAATATTGTGTATAAGTTTCATTACATTTGGTTGAGGCAAACTCAAGATAGATAACGGAAACCAATTTTGGGACGTACGTACGTACGTAAACTCATCATAGATACCAGGATGTAAATTTGTATTTGCGCCAGACGCGCGTTTCGTCTACAAAAGACTCATCAGTGACGCTCGAATCAAAAAAGTTAAAAAGGCTAAATAAAGTACGAAGTTCAATGAAAAGCATTGAGGACCAAAAACTCCTTAAAGTTTTGCCAAATACAGCTAAGGTAATCTATTCCTGAGGTAGAAAAGCCTTAGTATTTCAAAAATTCAAAGTTTTATGAACAGTTAATTTATAAATATGATCATATCAATGATAATTCATGTCAACACAGAAGTGCTGACTACGTACATACGTACAGACGGGCAAGGGTAAAACTTAATTACGGCGGGGGCATAAAAAGAAATGGTTAAAACCACTTTTTTTTCAACTCAAACAAATTTATTCTTTTATTTTTATTTTCATTCCGACCCCCGACCCTAAGTTCTCAGAAAAAATCTCGTAAAACAGATAATAATAAAAAACGTTGGCCTAAATTAACATTTTGTCATTTAGTATTACAGCTATCAATATATATGGGTTTTGCTCATTGTAGAATACTTTATGGTGACCTGTAATTGCTCACATCTTTGTTTCTTGGTCTTGTAAAGAAATGTTTCATATGGCAATCATATACCACATCTACTTATTTTATATTGCATATACAATTATCTGTATATCTATATAGAAATCATTTTTAAATCGCAAATGTTGAAATCTCAACTTATAGTTTTGACTGACTTTTCTGTCCGCCTCTATGTTTGTAAAAGATAATTCCATTTGGTTGTAGGTACATATAAATGTTTTAGATCGTGTAGATATCAAACAATAAATTTTATCACATACTTGTATAAAATATTACTTCAATTTCACAGTTCAATAACATCTAATAATATTAAAAAGTTATGAAATGATTACTATATTTATTGACCAGATTCCTAAGAATTGCCTCGGCGAGCTGATAAACAAACCTTTATTGACTGCTTCCGAAATATTATCATATGCCTTCCCGTTAATGTCCGTGACGTTTATCTCATACAACTTCGTGCATTTCCGGGAATTTGTTTGAAAACGACAACACAGTGCGGAAAACCGCAAGTGATTTAAGACGTTTCACAAAATGGTTGAGGAGCAAAATTTAATTAAGAATAAACATGTTTTCAAAGACATAAATTAGATGCCAGAAATTGTCCAGGATAATTTAAAGGAAAAATAAATTATGCACATGATTTCGGGGGCAACCATACACTGTGGTAAAGGTGACAATAATTTTGTTCAAACTAAGAACATAATAATTGTTGTAAAAAGATAAATAAAATGCTTGTAATATCAATAAAAATAAAACCACAAAAAAAATAACAAAAAAATACTAAATATTTATCCTCAACCATGGAAAATTGGTATACAAAAAAAATATTGAGTCTTCAGTAGGAGGAAAACATTAATAATACATCAAATATTTGTTCATTAAACAAATCAAAAACATTGAAACAATGTGAAAATGCATTTTATAACTTTTTTTTATCTCATTCCTACCAACAATGACCAATACTACAACTGTGATATCATTAGAGATCTGTGTTGACAAAATTAAAGAAATAGAAGGACTTACTCAAATCTAACAGTATAAACCACTTAGCCCAGAACTGTAATCTAGTTCATTCAATAAAGGGATTTTTGTCAGATCAAAACAATAACCTACTATGGGGAAATAAATCGATAATAAATTTCGGGGAGCAATCTCCGAAACAATTCTTCGAAAAAAATCGACAAGTAAACGAAAACGACATACCATAATTTCAGCTGTAAAATGAGCTTTTGTAAACACACAATTATTTAAGGATTGTAACATGAATACGACCTTACTATTAGTCATGCATCTCATGTCTAAGTGTGGTTTACCTATACATGCACTATGTATCGTGTATTGGAGGAATTGACTAATGACGTAATGTAAAGTTGTAAACAATGGAGATGTTAATTACGAAAGCGGAGGGACTACAGTTTGTTATTATGTTGAATTATTAATAGATACTAAATGTATGGGATTGATACCAAAATTTAAAAGGGGTCGAAATCCTGGAAACATCCAATGTTTTGATCAGTGTTATAAGGCATACACAATTTTGTTGTATTCTGGTATTTTCGTGCCGCTGGGTTGCTGTTTCATTCCCGTTAACTTCAAATATCCTCTTATCATAGGTTTGTCATACATTGTTTTTTTCATTCTTTTGGTCAGGTTATGGCCCCGTTAGGCATTTGGATAATAATTCAAATCATTAGTAAAAAAGATGGATAAAAAGCATTTGTGACAAACTTCTGCAATTTGCCTGACGATCTAATTTAAATCAAAGTTTTCCTCGCCAGGATCATTTTCCCATCTTGTAAAGAGTTTGATGGA